TTTCTTAAAGTGATTTGATTAAAAAGAAAGATGAAAATGTTTTGTGAAACAACAAGCAAATATAAAGAGATCAGCCTCGGTACAAGCACCGAAGACCATCTCGTAAAAACAAAATAAATAAAGAGGTGGAGCGTCTTATTTGAAAAGAGATAGAAACATTATTAATCTTTAAAACCGAGTGAACGGAAGTGAAGTGGGCTTGGGTCTCCTGATTAGTTTCATGGGCAATGGTGAAGCAATGCAATGGCCTCATTAAAAACCTTAGTGAGAAATACCAATGGGACAAAAATCACTAAGGGAAAAAGAGCACACATTGCACTACTTAGCCTATAAACTAATCAGCTTGAATACAAACCAAAGAGGTAAGTATAGCCTTGTCGTCATTGATCTTGATTTGGTTGAGTAGAACCTCTAAGGCATTATGAAATGCCTTAGTCCTTGAACGCGTCATTGGACCAACTTGAAATTTAAGGGCTTCATCAGCTACATGTTTGTCTTGTTCTTGATCCTCCTCGGATCTTTGTTGTTTTAGCTCGGCTTTTAGTTGTACCTCGTTGCTGCCGAACTGTTTTACCTCGGCATTGAATTGTTTCAGTTTGGCATCCCGGTCTATGTCTTCATTATGGTCCATTATCATATCATCCTCCTTGCTCCCAATAACTTCTTAAGTACCTAAAAACATCCTTAATGCATAGAGAATGCAAAGTACCACCTAAATGCAACCTAAGTCTAAAAAAAAAGGAAAATAGGACTAAAGAGAAGGAAAACTTGGAAAAGGAAACCCAAACACTAACTAAATGCAAGCTTATATGATGTAAATACATGAGATATCATTTATCACAGTTTATGTTCAGATTTCGAAAAACACCAGTTCATTAAAAACGCCAGAACAGCATCAAAAGTACAATCCCAGTTCGGGGAGATTCAAAGTACAACAAAAATACTTAAACAAATAAAAAGGGGGATTCAGCCCTTAGAACCATCAATCTCGGCCTCTTGGCTTTTCTCCTACTGAATTTCTCCTTCTTCAAGATCGGCGTCCTGCTCCTTAGTCTGGTCGGCCTCTTCGGCAGACTTAGCCGTTTTCTCAATTTCTCCTTGGCCCGATCCGAGACCAGATGGTAAAATCACCGATGAATCGATGGACTAAGGATCACCACTCATAGCTTCCAAGAAGGACTCTGGTGCAGGAATTTCTAGCTCGTCGGCCGAAAAGCTGACATCTCCAAAGGCTTCTTGCTTTGCCTTGCTCTTGGTGATCTTCTTAGCCATATTTTCATCAATCAGAGCCGGGAAGTCGTAGCCTTGTCTACAGACGATGGTGAGAGCCCTTTGCGCGCCAACCCATTAAGTCGTAGTCAAGATTAAGTCTTCAGCTTTTTCTTTCTGAGCAAGAGACTCCCTGACCTTCCTTACCAGATCAGCATAATGGCTGTTAACCTTAGAAACTACACGCTTGGCAATTTCTTGGCCGAAGAAAACCTTCTCTTCCTTAGCCGCGGCCAACTCGGCTTCAAGCTTCTCCTTAGCAATGTTTCTCTCGTGCTTAATCTGTTTGCAGCTCGGCCCAGCAGCCTATACTTTTCGTCATGGTTCGCTTGAACTTGGGTGAGATCCTGCGCTGATTCCTGCAGTGCATGTTTGAGCTCATCATTCTTTTTCTTTTTGGCTTCAAGGGCGTCTTTGATAATCTCTCTCTCGTTCAGATCGGCCATACACTTCTTAGCATCGCGATCGTATTCACACATCACGTTCAATGGGGTGCTAAGGATCATCAATAATGTGTTTGTATAAGAAAAGGTGCGATAGAGGAAAATTTGACTTTTTTTTACCTTAGCCTGATCAATTGCGTAGCGCGCAATTGCCTCGCTTCGAATGAAGCTCAAAGGATCCGTGGGAGAACTTGCTGGGTGTTCCCTCAGCCGAAGGAAGTAATCAAGGCAAGCCATTGAGTCGTTCACTACCGACCCGGATCCACGATATTCATATGAAAATACAAACGGGTGGAGCTCCTTCTCGACGCGAGACCTTTTTGACCCTTGCGGTCTCTCCGGCAACTCCTCTGGACCTCTCTTGTTCGGGTTAGCGAAATTACTTTCATCGCTAATGGCTATCTCCTCGACCTCCGTGTCTTTCACAATCTCTTTGTTACGCTCGTCCAGGTCAGCTTTCTTCCGAGCTCTTTCCACCTCTTTGGCAGCTTTCTTTTCATCTGCTCTTTTAGCCTTCTTAGCGGCCGCTTTCTTAGCCTTGGCCGAATCATTTTTGGCATGATCCTTTGGTACGTCAGAAGCTTCATGTCCTTCTGACAATACAACCGGTATAAGATTTTCTGGCTCCCGAGCGCTCGGAGACCCCAAAGCAGTCTCTAGGTCGGCTGACAAATCTTTGAAAGAGCAGCACCTCATTTACTTAGGTCGGTTTTGATGACGCTCTAATGCAGCTGAAAACATCCAAGACAAGATCAAAAGCCGACCAAACTTAAACAACCAGATCGGCGAATAAAACAAGACTAACCTCTTGTTCTTGCAATCTTCTCTTCAGTGATCTCTGGCCACGTGATTGCGCTGAACGCTGCAAATCGATCAGAGATCTTGTAAATATCAACTGGATCGTCAACGATTGGAAGATGCCTGTTATCTGCAAAGTCAAAAGGAAAACCTATCAAAAAAATGCAACACAAATATTCAACTATCTTTGGATTTCTAGTCAGTCCAAACTCTACCCATGACCTACGTCCATTTCGTTCAAATCGGTACATCCTCGTCGGCGATGGAGAATTCGTTGATCAGTACAAAGAAGTACCGATCTCTCCAGTCGGCTATGTTTGTTTTATACCCACCAGTGACTATATTGAACCTTTTCTTCATACTCGTGTAGTATGACCCTTAATTCCTCATTTTCTCATGTGTCCTCCTGGTGTTTGTCATCGCGTCGAAAGCAGCTCAGTTAACGGTATATCGTGTTTAATCGACATCACCAGCATACTTACTATCAAACGGACCGTTGAATGAGAGAATTAGGAGATCAGCATCTCTTTGTTGTCGGAAAATTCCAGCAGCAATCTTGGATGAGGAAACCAGAGATGAAAATCCCTGAAGAAGCACTTGTAGACCCAAAACCATCCCTCTGGTGCATCCCACTGTTGCGCTGATGGACTAGGCACCATGAATATCACCTTCGGGCCGATATCTCATTCCTCCTTTTAAGACACCAACGACTCCATAGTTGATTTTGTCGGCATGACCCCCATGATGTTATTCGAGGTTGGGTTTACTATTTCTTCTCCTTTCCTCTTTTTCGCCTATCTTTCTGGCGGATTCATGTCGATGATGCAAAACTGGTTTACTTCGTCTTCTACGACAATCACATTCAGTTCGTCCGAGATATCCATCTCGTTTGATCCTCCCCGCTCATCAGATTCTCTCGCAGTTCAGGGATCTCGAAAGGCGCCATCGAAGATGTCTGTCTCTCTGGATATCAGATCGGCTCTAACCTGATCGGCATGAAAGAGATCGGCTGCCGCTTGTTGATTCTTCTCTCTGACCCGCTCTTGGAAGGCCCGATCTAACAGGGAGAGTTCACGTGCATCTGAAGACCGATCTGATGCCGATTGATTGACTACGACCTCTTTTCCTTTAGATCGGCCTCTTGCAAGTCTATCATCTCTTGATAGCTTGAGAAATTACTCTAAGGAGATGCCGAGCTCATTGGCTTTTTCCTGGTCCGACATGTCTTCCTTGAATCAGGTCGGCTCTCTCCGATCTTCAAACTCTTACTCATCTCTGATTAATACGAAGACAGCTTCAAAGCAGATCAGAGAAATCAAAGGCGGAGGTCGAACGAAACACAGCGGAGAGATGAACAGAAAATAAAAAAATATAAGAACAAAGAGAAGAGAGGAAGAGAGCAAACCTTTGGCAAAATTTTCGCGAAATGCAGAAGTGAGGAAAATGGGTCGAGCACCTCTTATTTATACGGAAATGAGGATGGTTTTCGAGAGTCATCGTGACTTGGCGACTGTTTATATTTCTTCTTATTTAATTTAATCTGCCTCTTCGCCTCTCTCCCCTGCTGCTTGACACACGTCATACCTAAATCTGCATGCGCAGACCTAGTTTACGAAAGGCGGGAAATGTTCGCGCCAAACTGTGAATCTGATTGACATTGAGTTGCCGATCTGAAATTCGAAATACAATGTTCAAAGTTCTAACTTTGGAAGTGGCCGACCTCAATTCATGCCCAGCTGTCTTTCTGAAAATTCACCAAGCTCGATAAATTCTCGCTTGTCGAACTGGGAGGGGGGGGGGGGGGGGGGGGGGGGGGGGGGGGGGGGGGGGGGGGGGGGGGGAGGGACTTACTGTTATAGATGGAATTTGTACCCCCTCTAAAAGCTCTACATCGATTAAGGTAGGCCCACTTAAAAATCCTAGAGAATATCTAGGACAGCAAGATAAATGGAAATCTTCCATTTATCCGATCAAATTCCAGAAAAGACGGAAGGTCGGCCTTATCGAGAAGGAAGTTTTCCAATTTTGGACATGAGAAATTATCTCCAGAAGAATAAAATTGTCGGGTATAAATACAGAAGTCATCTACTTCTCAAATCATCCAAAAATCCTCTCTTGAGACCTAGGGCAAAATAGCAATCTATTGTTCTTAGTTCCCGAGTTTTCATTCATATTTTAGGTCGGCGTTCTTATTCCGACGACCTAAAACCACCCTGTACTTTCTCGAGCTCCGGCTTAACACTAATAAAGATCTCTCTTTAAACCCACTAACTCTTGTTCAATCTTTAGATCGGATTTGAGTTATTACATCAGTTATTCTTCTCCTGTGAATTGGAGAGACTCGTTTGTTTGTTATATTGCTCCTAATCCTCCAAATCCAGAGGATATCCGAATAGCTTGCAGGTAATTAAAACTAAATGTTATGATTAAATAATATACTATTCAAGTGCTTTGCTTTTGAGTTATGAATATGTGAATATATGATTTTAGGGATGCTGCGATTAAATACTCGAAGCATGTCATGGACTTTGGAGAAAAGCTATTCCAACTTCTATCAGAAGCTTTAGGTTTAGACTCTGAGATGCTTAAGAAGTTGGATTGTCTTAAGGGTTTGTTTATGATATGCCATGACTACCCACCTTGTCCACAACCTGACCTGACTTTGGGCATAAGTAAGCATACGAATAACTCTTTCCTCACGATTCTTCTTCAAGACCAAATCGGTGGTCTTCAAGTTCTTCATCAAGATTATTGGGTCGTTGTAACTCCTATTCCTTGAGCTCTTGTCATCAACATCAGTGATTTCATGCAGACAAGCCCCAAATTTTATGCAAAAACAGAGTCTTGACCTAGAAATTTGAAACGTGATTTTGTGTTTTTTTCGCAGCTGATAACGAATGATAAGTTCTCTAGCCTGGAGCATAGAGTATGTGCGAACATAGATGGACAGAAGATTTTGATTGCGTGCTTTTTAGCTCGAGTTTGTTTCTGAATTCCACTGTTTATGGACCGATCAAAGAGCTCTCGTCTGATGAAAACCCTCCCAAGTATAAAGACATCACTATACCCGAGTATATTGAAGGGTACCTTGCGAGCGGCTTCGATGGGTAAACGCATTTGTCCAAATACAGGATACAAAGAAAGGACTTGTCCGGCTTAGTGAAAAGATGATCAGATATATCTGTGTGCGCTTTTGCATTTGAAAGTTTTCTAAAACTGGAAAAGATGTATTTTTTATAAAAGTAAACTTATTGAATAAAATCAGTCACACTTGATCACTTAACATCAATGTAGCTAAGAAGAAAGAGGACAAAGTGTGATGAGATTGTGAGAAAGACAAATAAGGTTTCTTTCTTCGAACTACATGAACTCCGTTTTTGAGCTTATCTATCATTGAAGAAACCATAACTCCATATTTTCATGCTTTCATGTCTTAGCAGTATCCTAATAGTGCGAAGTTCTGCAATAACAAAAGAAATGAGACTTTTTTTTATCGAATCATTATTGGCTTTATAAGACTAAAAAGGTTTTATAATATAAACTGTAGAGTTTTGATTCAACAAATAAAGGTTTGCACACTAATGCAAACAAAAAGCCCCTCTAGTTTTATGAGGATACGATTACTTGAAAAAAGAAATTGTGGACAAACCCGCAAGAACTCTATCCAAAAAGGAGAGAATGACGTTCCTTAGGTTTGTAGTTGTAGATATCATACAGAACAGGACCAACAACCACAAAGTAAAAAGCCTGAAAAAAACACAAAAAACAAACATAGTGTTGACTTTAAAGTCAAACTGTTGTTAAGCTTTGAATCCATTATTTGTAAATATGGGATGAACAAAGAAGAACATCCTAACTAGATAAGTACCAATGATTTTTTTGATAAGAAAGAGTAAGACTCCACCTGATATCAGGGAAACAGTAGTAATACCGGCTTGTCTCACCTTTAAATATTCAGTCTCCAAGTAATATAAAGATACATATAGAGAGTGAGCACCAGAGACCAGAACATCATAACTGAAAAATAATTGTGCCTTGACCAGATCAAGCTTTGGAGTCAACTCTTTAGCTACAGGGCCACCATCAACTCCAAAGTCATTGAACCTATTAAAATGTATCCAAGCTAAGAATTCGATATCCCAAAAGCCTTGATAGAGATATGGTTTGAACCTCTCAATTCCAGGTAATTAGAAACGCGAGGATAGATCCAAAAGAAGGATGATGGGAAACAACAACAACAACAAAAGAACTCACATTCGCCAAGCAAAGAAGATGATGAGAGAAGCGGAGAGAACTCTTTCAAGAAACGAGAAAAAGCTCATCTTTCTCTCTTTTTGTCTCTCGCTCAAGCTTGTGTTGGAACTCAATTTTAAGGCATGTTGCATCGATATTTTTCTCGAGCAACTCCTGATATATTTCCGAGGGAATTACTGAATTATAAGTGTAGAGTTTGTTTGAATGAAAGATGCGTGTCTAATATTTGTTGCTTGAAAGACACAAAATGGACTATTCAAAATTATGGAGAATTCCCAACAAAGTTAAAGACCTTAGGATAATTGTAGAGAAGAGTGAATCCATGATAAACCACATGCTGCACCGAGATGAGTCGAAATTGCCTCCGGCTCGGGTTTCGGTTTAGGCGTGGACTCGGGGTAGATGGACTTTGGTCCAACAGCCTTTCATTTGTATCGAATTATTTATATAATTGATCGCTACATAAATTATAATTTGGTCAAAAACAATAATTCATTTAGTCAAATGAGAATTGATTTTTATCAATTTTATAACTCTACAATTGATCTTGATGGCTTAATATTAATTGAGATTAATAAGCAAGTAATGCCAACAAGTATGGTGAGTTCGACATCCCAAATTGGGAATGGTCTTCCACTTACGATCTTGTGTGCTTTATGGATTGGAATTCTGATGTTTATTTGTATGTCCAAATCCTACTTTTATCGAGTTATGGTAGAGGTTTTGGTTTTATAGTTACAAATTTAGTGAGTCGATGCACCAAATTCAGTTTGGTAGTGGTGTGCCATATATGACTGTGCCGAATTCTGATGTTTATCAGATTGTCAGGTTAGTGCCTAGTGTTGTAAGCATAAGACTAATGTTAGACAAGTTCGATTGAACTACATTCATTATGTGTTAGGTGAAGATATTTATCTCCCTAAACATGTTGATTTTAGAGAAGTAACTCAAGGAGGCTAGCATATACTTTTTCTTGAGAATACTTAAAGTTGAAACTCTAGTAAGTGTTGTCTTGTATCATTGAGATTGCTCTATGCAATGTTGGATAAAATTCGCCTGTACAAACCACTGTATAATTTTATAGTGAGTTGGGTACTTTTATGGAAATATAAGTTTCCTTAAGAAAAAGTAAAAGTCTAAATATACACGTTCTAATAAATTCGCATTGGCAAAATTTCTAGACTTTAATTTGGTGGACTCTAAGTTCTTCGTAGAAAAGTCGTAGAGCTGTGATTGCTTATACATGAGATAATAGCCGAAAATATGTTAATGTATTTGACATACCAGGCATGTTGGTCGATTGAAAACATTCCATTAGTTTGGAAGTATTTCAGCAATTATCTATGTTGTAAGCGAATGGATGTAAACCTCGATTACTTGATGGTTAGACAGCGGATTGAATCTGCAAATCACAAAGCATATGGTGTTATTTTGTGAACATATTGCGAAAGTAGGTGGGCACAAGAACAAGAGAATAGTTAAGGTTGTTCTAAGAACCTCAACTAGCTTCAAAAAGCAGAATGCTTAAATGGAAACTCAATTCTCTGCATGAGTCATTCATCAGCATTGCTATGGCATGTGTTAGCCTATTTATCCATCATGCCACACTTGTGACATTTTCCAATAGGAAATCCCAGACCAACCTGACTAAAATTGACATGGGTAGTGTACTTTCTGAAGTCTACCTGGTTGGGAAAACTCGAATGGGATGGTGGCATTACAATGCTACATCCAATGAAATCTATTATGATATATTTGATTATTTGCTGAAATGCAAGAATGTGGTTATAGAAAAATTCAAAACATATAAGATGGAATTTAAAATCCATTTTGAGAAACTATGAAAATAGTTAAATGTGAAACCGGAAGCGAGTTTTCTGAGAATGAAATGCGTTCTTTAGAGAATATAGCATTATTCGTCAGAAAACTGATCGTTATTCACTTGTAATCTAATAAGATTCTGAACTCTTAATAAGATTATGAATGCAAAGATGCATGATTCTGAGTAATCTCAGAAAATGTGGTGAGAAGCGTTGCTTACCACATAAAGTCATTGGCACGATGCCACATGAGCTTTGAAGAGGTAAAGTACATCAGTACAAATACCTACAAGTGTGGGGGTGCATGACAAACTTTGCAATGCAATCTCCAAAAGAGATCACAATCTGGCCAAACAATGATATATTGTATTTTTTTTTAATCAGATATGCACATTCAAGTAGTGCTCATCTAGTTCTGGTTTATAAATCATATGTGCAGGATATCCATATAAATACAATAATGGCCTATGTAAATGAGGCGAGTACTTCTGACACATTAGTATATAATCCAAAAGAAGCAAAATCTGAAATTAGACGAAGCAATAAAAGATCATTAGAAAAATATTTTTTTTGGCAACCATTCTTTTCAAGAATTAAGCTAAAAAGCTATGTGTACATTGAACTTACTTCCGTTCAAGGTAAATAATCAATCGTGAGATCGACGCCGTTATGCAAAACCATACATGGATGATAGTCGATTTGTCACAAGGGCTTTAAGTCTTAGTGTAAATGGATTTACAAAAATTAAAAATTGTTAGCTTAGTCGTAGAGACAAAATGTCTATAGACATGTGAAGTCCTTGTTTGGGATAACTAAAGCTCTGAAACAGTGGCATGGAATATTTGACAATATCACAATATCAAATAGTTTTAGCATCAATGAATAAGATAAATACATCAACATCAAAAGTACTCCACACAGTTATACTTGACTATGTATGTAAATCAAATGATTTGAAGCATTAAAGACATGCTTGAACAAACTAAGAATACTCTTAGTGTGAAGTTTTACATTTAAGACATGAGACTAAACAATGTGATTCTAGTGATTAAGTTCACTAGACAATCAAAAGGAATTATTGTGTCTCAACTTTATTATGCTAAAACCATACTTGATAGATTTAAGATCTAGTCAAATGATTAAAAGTACTTAAATAATTGTATTTAACTCAATCAGATTTGTACATTTACTAAGTTGTCAAATGAGTAGTCCATGTTGTAAATACTGAAAAATATAACTAAAGTATTTAGTTATGTGCGATCTACTAAAAGTTATGGTAACAACAACTAGTTTGGAATGATACATTTATGTTAAATGATAATTTAACTCCAGAAACTAAAAGTCCATGAGTGGATTTGTTTTAAGTTTTAACGCTTGGCAGTGAAACAATATCAATGAAATCTTCTAAATTAATGCTGCAAAATAAATTAATTCTGGAACCAAAGTTCATAGCTTTCAATTAAGCAATGAACTTAAGGGTTTAAAAACTTGGTGAAAGAAGTTCCAATGTGACAAAAAAAATAGTGCTAGCATATGTGTACTCATGATATTCAATTGAATATAGCTTGGCACTGAGTTTTAATAGTTGGTCGTGTCTTTTAAGAAGACCACATAAAACCAAATAAACAATTGATCTCAAATGGAGTAATCTCAATAAATTATGTCCAACTCGATGATAATTTTGGATCTATGTTAAAAGGTGTGTCATGAGATTAAGTTGTAAAACCATCAAGAGTAATGGGTCTTAATCCTATGACTTAAGAGGACGTTTGATGGTAACCCCACCTATATGACTGGAGATCCCAAATAGAAAATTAAGTCAAAATGAATCAACTAAGAGTACTGTAAGACTATGTCATGCCCAATTCCTAGGATGATAAGCAGTGCTACCTATATTGGTAGAGGATAAGCTTATGCTATTAATGATTTGGGTCCATGACTTTGAGATATAAGTGGAGTAGTACATGCTACTTGATAAGAGGAAAAGCTTATTCGTGACTATGAGCAAAGACCCGCGGTAGTGATGGCTACAAGTGGGCTACGAGACGGTTTTTACTACTTAAGCAATCAACCCACTACTAATCAGTTGTACTATAGTATAAAGTCTTTTACTAATCCAAGTAGGAAAGATGATGCATAGAGAATACAAGAAATTTTGTGAGCTAGGCCAAGCAAGAAAGGTTTATAAAGTTTCTAACACCCTAAACAATTACTACACTGAAACAGGACAATGATCATAGTGAAGCACAAACAGAAACATTGAACCAACTTAAGTAAACACAACCTTCCAATTAGCAAAAACAGAGCAGATGCATGGCTAATTCGAAATTGATAAAGAAGGGTCTTAGGATAGGAATGAGCAACCTAGAATGATCCTTAGCTTCAAACAAGATGTTCAAACAATCAATGAATGCTTGATTCTTTAGCATAGAACTCTAACATGTAAATTGATAGGGTCAGGTCTTACCCAAATAAAACTACTGCAAGTGCACAGCAAAAGCAGTTGTAGTACAAGGGGTTATCGAATCCCAAGGGAGTAAGTAAACTACACTAAAGAGTTCAGGTTCGGATTAAGCTAAGCGATAAATAATGAATGTAATGCAAAACAGTAAAATATATGCAGGAGGGCGTTTTTATGCTTGTTCTTAAAGTTCAAAAGGCTAAAGGCGCTAAGTCAGGACAGTTCGCAGGTTGAATCTGAGAGTGTAGAATGCATGCAATCAGGAATGAATTAAAACCGTCTTGAACATGAATCGCAAAGATATAACTAATCAATTCTCATTGCAGAAGCTATCTATGTCTAAATCACAGAGTTTCAAATCTCTTTGCAAACCCTAACAATCTAAACATGCAGTAATGATCAGGTTCAATTGTTCACAAAACTCCTAAGCCAAATCTCTTTGTACTAGGGCGTTTTGCTCATCTAATACTAGTTCAGGTGATTAATAATGCTCTCACATCTATCAAAAACCTAGGGTTTCGAAATCCAGATGATGTGTCTAAGAAATCGATATGAATGCAAGCACAGATGAAGAACCAATGAATTTCCTATAAGTTTTTAGCAATTCTACAAACTCTTCTTCAACCTTTGAAAAGCCCTAACTTAACTAACAAACTACTCAGACATGGTGATTTGAGAAAACATCATGAAAAGAATAGATTGCATAAAAGAAATAAGAAGTAGAAATAAAGGAGTTCAAAATCTGCTCTGAAGGAGTCTGATTTGTCTCTCCAAAAGCTCTTCTACAAATCTCTCTCTAAAGCTCTCCAAAATAATAAAATACAAGATATATGCCAAAAGAATGGCTGAAAAACCTAATATACAAGCTAAAACACGATCTGAGGTCTTTTTGCAAATACTGGAACTTTTGGGCCAAAACTGCAATTTCTTCCCAATCTTTTAAAAACAAGCCACGACTTCCTTCCTTGGTGGGTGACGAGCGTCACCAGCTTGGTGACGAGCGTCACCCATATGCATACTTTCCTCTTCGAGCTTGGTACTTCGTGGCTTCCACTCAGAATGCTCCAAAAGGTTCCAAAATCTCCAATTATGCTCCAGACATGCTATAACCTGCAAAAACTCTTCTAGGACTCTAAAAAGACCAAAAAGACTCAATAAAAAGAACTTATATCATGGTTAAAAACCATAAAAACCATGATATATCAACTCCCCCAGACTTAGCTTTTGCTTGCCCTCAAGCAAACATTAGACAAAGAATAAGGTCGAGGTTTGAAAACAAGAAACAATCAGTCAGTCATCAGGAAGACCATACTAGTTAGAGCTTTCGAATCCACATACCACATAGTCAACACAAGGTCAAATTTCAGCCTAATTATCACAAGCTTAGCAAATCTCTCAAGTCCAGTCCAAATCCCTTCAAGAAATCCGAAATTTCTACTGTTAACTCCTTATTTTTTTATCTAAGTGTGAAATCTCATCAAAGCTCTATTATCTTAATCACTTTACTGATTCTTTTCCCTTCCTAACAACTGAACAAATCAATCTCAACACAGCTCTCCTATTTTTTCTTCCCTTAATCTTTTTCCTTAGGATATTTTCGATTTTTCACTTCTTTTTTTCTCAACTTTTACAGTCTAAGATATGGTGCTACTCAATACTTGTGTTCCTTGTGAGGAGACAGGTTCTTGAGTGTGTTCACTACTGTTGTTCCTTGTGAGGAGACAGGGTCATGAATGCACCATTCTTTGAACTTAAACTTTTAAAAACTACATCAGGGAAGATCAAAGAGAGATTGTATTTTAACCTTATTGTCAGTGCTTAAAGAGAGAATCAAGATCAATAAGAATCAATCACCAAGACAAGAAATTTAAAGTTCATTAAGGTGGAGCTAACAGCAAATTTTCCAGATTCTCTAAGAACCTAAACCTTCATTGCTAGACTGATCTACCTATGACTTTCAACTTAGTAAGACTTGTAATCAACTACTGTGGCAATGTTTCTTATCAGCAAAAACGTCCTATGGCTAGTTCCAAG